AGCAGGAATATTTGCGTTGGTCATAATTTGATTTCCAACATTTTCAAAGTCCTTATGCAAGCCATGAAGGCCAAAAACCAAGTACATTAATGATTTGATCTAACTTTTAAGCACCTTTTGGGGAGGATCACAATTGGTCAAAATCATCTTGTTGGATGCTATATACGGAGTTTTGTTCAAATTAGGGATTAAGTTGTGATCATGCATTTGAAGAGCTGCCAAATTATGAACAAAACCATAGAGATAACACCTGGATGTCATGTAGTTTTTACAATAAAGATTTTCAGAGTTTATTGAAGGATTCCCTGAGAATATAAAAGAGAAGGGGGCCTTTATCAGACCCTGTTGCAGATACCATGAAGACAAAAAGACTGAAACTTAGAGCTGAACCAAAAGATATACAACAGGACAGCGAGTAGATTTTGAACTCACTATTCAGATCAAATAAAAATGAGAATACAAGACGTGAAACAGACAAAGGAGAGGCTAACAAGTATAATGGAGGTGGCATGATTGATATCTGGCCGTAACAAAGTGACATGTGGCTTTCACATGCCGACCAGATGTATTAACATATGACGGCACTCCATGGGGAATTGTTTGGTGATGAGTCAGGAATGATCACTTAAAATGAGGCACTTCAGATGGTGGTCTCACCAGAATAAATGGCTTCAGTGGCCAGAGAATGACTAATGATGACTTCAGATGAACAAAATTAAGACCATAAATTCAAACTTCTTAATTCTATAGCTGCACAAATGTATACAATTTTATTATTGCATGCTAGGTACCAAAAATCTATACAACTAGCTATGACCCATTTGCTACAAAGGCTGCATCAGCTACAATTCTGATATCCAAGCAAGAGTTTCCTTCAATATGATGAACACGTGCATTGACCATAAACGAACAACTTATTTTCAATAATAGAATAAACAAAAGTTGTACTTAACCAGTAGCCAACTCTAGATGTGACGAGAATATGGACAAACATGAAGAAGAAAACTTAACAGAATCTGAATTCAGAAATCAAATGCTATACTGTACAGAATAACCAAAAAAATAATACCACATCAGTAGACTAAAACACAAACCAAAAAAACAGAAGAACAAAATGACAGCAACTACAGGCCAGCATATCTTCAATAGAAATATCAAAACATACATGTTTGGTGTCAAATTCACGCTGCCACCTTCGAGCATCCCAAAAATCCTGCCCCATTTCTCCGCAATAGTGGCCCACTTGATAACCAGTCCGCTCACGAATTACTTCAGCTTGCTGTATTAGACAAAGAACTAGAATTACTACAGCTTACGGTAATTAAACAACGAATTACAACTTCCAAACAGTGAATGGACACCATTTGCATTTGATTACTCAAATCTCATGTTGTCTCCAAGCAAAAGCCTTTAAAAATAAAGAAATTGTGAAAAACCATATTACCTGGTAAACAAGTGGAACTTTTGGAACTAAAAAAACTGCAAGCATTTTCTTATTTAGCTTCTGCAAACTCTCCTGTATGCTTCTAATGAGAAGAACAGCAATTAAGGTTTTCCCTGCTCCAGTTTCAAGAAAAGCTATAGTATTTTTCTTCTTTGCCTGATCAAGAACATCCAACTGATACTGTCTAGCTTTTTCCTCAGGAACCCTCTCCTTAGCCTCCTCAGATTTCTTATCAACCTTTCCATTGTTTTCCTGTTTTGCCTCACTCACCATTTTGTCTTCTCGAATACGATCAGGTTCCCAGGCGCCCAGGCGAAAGATCATATCATTGGAACCTGACTTATCCCTCTCCCAATAACCCCTAGTTTCTCTATCCCTCCAATCCCTATCTCTAACATCCCTCTTGCCACAATTACCATAATGTTCTCTTTTCCTAACACCATCCTTATCCCTCCTATCAATCTCATCCCTATCCCTAGGCCTCTTCCTGTTGTTAAAACACCTCTCCCTCTCCTTCCCTTGATAATTATTCCCTCTACCATAGTAAGGTCTCTCATTCTTGTAGCCACCAAGCCGAGCCCTTTTGCCACACCTCTCTTCACCATCAACATCATGGCCTCCATTGAGAGTGAGAGTCCCTCTTTCCCGAGAATGATTAACCAAAGCACCCCCTTCATTCCCATTGGTCATCTTGCAAGAGCCGTTACTCTGAGCAGCAACAGAAGCATCAGGAGCAGGAGCAGGAGCAGGAGCAGGAGCATGATTCTCCCCACCCTCCAAAGTGGCATTGGAGGCATCATTAGGCAACGACACTTGTCCTCCAGCAGAGTTGGAATTGGATTCAGCATGAAGAGGAAGACCAGAACCGTTCTTGATGCTGTCCAAAATTTTATCAATGCCACCGAAAAAGTCCTGATTGGAAGCGTTGTCAGGCTGGTCGGACACGATGGATGAGACATCAAAATCAATGAAATCACACGATATGTCCTCACAAGCATCGAGCCAGTAAGAGGGGTCATCCCCCGCCGGAACCCTACCTCCATCCTCCATATCCTTTTATGCAATTTGATTATGCTAAAAAGAAAAGGTCTTTATTAGTAGCAATAGGAATCTTGAAGGAGAGAATGAAAGAGGGTATTGATTTTTCAGTGGAAGAGAAGAATGAATGAACAGTGGTAAAGAAGAGAGAGGTGTGTGCACCTAAAACCACAAGTCCTGTAGTGTGATTCCGCGGTGTATCAACGCTTATTCCGCTCCTCTCTTTTTTTCTTTTTCTTTTTTTTCTTTTCTTTCTTTATGATTTTGGATTCGACACAATTAGCCGCTTCTGAATTTTGCTTCTTCTTCTTCTTCCGCTGCTGCTGCTTTTTGCAGAGAAATCAAACCACAGCCACAGAGACAGAAGAAACAGAGCAAAATCCCAGACTCGGAGAAAACATACACTCCACTGGCACACATGTCCCATTTAAGTCAATAGATTAATTACTTAATTATAGTATTAATTAAGGTTCGAAGATACTACTATTTCTTTCACCGCCGTTACTAGGTAGTATCATATTTATGGGTCGGGTATCGTCCACCCGATTCGAATACACCTTTAATCTAATCTTTTTATTTAATGAATCAAAAAATGTAATATAATCATTGACAATAACAAAAACAATATATATATATATATATATATATATACTTGTGAATAACATAATTTGTTAGTGACATTATAGTTATTTTAGAATTTAAATATCTTTTTATAATTTTACAATTTTTTTGTTATTTAAATAATCACTCTAATATAGCCGTGGTGATAGAATTTCTATAATTTAAATGAAGTTTTAAGTTCAAAATTAATCATTATCGTCATTGTAAAAGAAAATAATTAAACACTCTTTATTTTATTTTGTTGCTTCATTTTCTATATTTCATTCAAATGGTATTTTTTAATTCGCCCACAAGAGTGTTTGAATAAAAATAAAAAGTAAATTATTTTTATATTTATCAGCAATAAATAAGTAAATAATATTGTTCTTACTGGAAATCTGCTGTAGAGCTGGGCCGTCCAGTAAGATCGGTGAGTTTCCTTTGCCCGGTGTATTGGTACTCCAAGATGGGGGAAGTACCTGCAAAAGAGACTCTGATGCAAGAAATCAGTGTTGTGTCCAAAGTGTGTGAGTATCCTCTAAAGTCCCATATCGGATAATTTTGAAGAAGGGAAGTGATAGACTACTACTATAAATAAGGGGTGATAGTTTGGATATACTCATCACAACAACACTAGTCTTTGGGTGTATTGGAGAGGGTTTGCAATTTTTCTGTGCCAAGTGGAGAAATAATATAATTTGTTGAGTGTGTTTGTAGATGTAGGCAAGGAGTGTCGAACCACGTTAATTTCTGAGTTTGTTTCTCTATTTTTGTTTCTATTCTTAATTCTTAGTATGCTCTGTGCTTGCAGCATTGTCTGATCTTCCACATCAGAAAAGAATTGAGGTTTTGACCAAGGGAGGAAGAGAAGCAATGTACCAGGGAGGAAAAGATGTCCCGCCCTCATGAAGATGGTTTCCAAGTTTTGCCAGAAAACTTGTGAGGAAGGGGTTTCCAAAAACTTGTGAATGATGATGGATTAATGTTAGACTTTGGATGAAGGGAGGATATGTTGTGCCCAAAGTGTGTGGGTATCCTCCAATGTCCCACATCGGGTAGTTTTGAAGAAGGGAAGTAGTAGACTACTACTATAAATAAGGGGTGATAGTTTGGGTCTACTCACCGCAACAACACTAGTCTTTGGGTGTATTGGGGACTTGGGTATTTGTGTGTCAAGAGAGAGTTTGCAATTTTTTTTGTGCAAAAATTGTGTGAGAGGGTTTACAATTTTATCCTTGTAAAAAATGCAAGTGGAGAAATAATATAATTTGTTGAGTGTGTTTGTGGATGTAGGCAAGGAGTGTTTGAGTGTGCTTTCGTTATTGAAGTTTTCTTTTCCCTCTGGTACTCAACACTCAGAACAAAACGGACTCCATGGCATTTTATCACTGATATATATCTGGAATCTCCCATGTAGGGGTGGGAGCGGGTTGAGTTATTGGGTCAAGTTTGAATAAATTTATTATTTGATCCAAAGTTAGGTTGAGTTGGGTCAGATTTGTGTAATTTTTTTTAAAAATTCAATTCAACCCAATCCAATTAAAAACGGATTGGATTAATCGAAATAAAATAATTATATTTATTTATTTTTTATAAAAATTTAAATATTTCAAAATAAATATAAATCATTTGATACATAATTGTAAATTTAATGTTATCAACCTATAAAGTAAATAATAATATAATTAAATTTAAAATAAATTTATTAATTTGTTACATTATTATTGGCTTAAAAAATCATTAATTAATATAAAATAAAATTTAAAATAAATGTATTATACTATTACAATACTATTAACCTAAAATACAAAATTTATTATTAAGTAAGAGTGATAATGAGTATTATCTTGGACAAATGATCATTCAAACACTATTATTATTATTATTATTATTATATATGATTGGATTAAGTCAGATTGGTAATAGGTTAAAAACATAAAATTCGTTACTCGACTCATATAATATCGAATTTTAATTGAGTTGGGTTAGATTTGACCCGAACACCAAAAAAATCCAATCCAAACTTATTAAGTTGATTTGAGTCAATTTGAGTTCGCAAATTACCCATACTCACTTACACACATACTGCCAGGGTTACTAACCATATAATCTTTATTAAAAATTGGGACATACTTTTATTGGAGAGGGTTTGCAATTTTTCTGTGCCAAGTGGAGAAATAATATAATTTGTTGAGTGTGTTTGTAGATGTAGGCAAGGAGTGTCGAACCACGTTAATTTCTGAGTTTGTTTCTCTATTTTTGTTTCTATTCTTAATTCTTAGTATGCTCTGTGCTTGCAGCATTGTCTGATCTTCCACATCAGAAAAGAATTGAGGTTTTGACCAAGGGAGGAAGAGAAGCAATGTACCAGGGAGGAAAAGATGTCCCGCCCTCATGAAGATGGTTTCAAGAATTTTTGGGGGTCGCCCTCGTGGGTGTTGACCCTTTGGAAGATGAGGTGTTTTACTTCGGCGGTTTGCCGAGGTTTCCGTTCTATTGGCGTCCCAAACCGTCTAGGTTTCACGGTTTGGGAGATTAGAAGGTGACGGCCGCGGAGGCGGCCACCATTAAGAATCTTGCCGCGCTCCCTCGTCCGCTGGATTGCAAGCTCGTTCTGTCGCTTGCAAATTCGCCTTATAGGGAGAGGGGCCTAGAGAGTGAGTATTGCACGCTTCAATAGATTGTCGGGCTTGTGTAGTTGCCTTTTACTGATGTGCTTCTGTTTCTTATCTGCAGGCATTATGGGGAAGAACTTGTGACGTGAGCTTAAGCACCGTTACAATGTGGCTGAGCTCGAGGTTCCCGAGCTCCCGGAGGAGGATGCCGCCCCCCTGAGGACACATCGCAAAAGAAAAAGGGGAGAGAAGGAGGTCGGGGGGACCTCTGCCCCTCGTAGTGCCGAGGAGGTGACCTCCAGGGCCGCTGATGCCGATACGGTGGACCTTACCGAGAGTCCGCCGTCCAAAGAGGTTTTCTCAGTGGTTGCTGAGGATGTGACTCGGGCTGCTGAGCAAGTTGTTCGAGTTGCCGAGGTGGTGAGTATCGTGTTTTTTCGATCGTCTCTTGTTACAATCTTTGGTCTTTTGACCTGGGACCGTTTTTTGCAGGCAGGAAATGCCGCCGAGGTGGCGACGCAGGCTGCTGGGCTGGCCGCCCAAGCTGCCGAGGAGGGGGTTCCGGCCGCCGAGCATGTTGTTCATGCTGCCGAGGTGAGTAGTGTTTGTTCTATTTGTTTTTGTGGTTCCCCGTATGTCATCTTATTTGTTCTTGACATGGGGTTGGTCTTTGCAGGTGGGGTCGGGGGTCCCTACCGTTGACGTTCAGGATGCCGAGCAGGGGACGCCGGTCTCTGCTACAGCTTCGGCGCCGCCGACGGGTTCGTCGTAGGGGCCTTCCCGGACCCATTATCTGGTGCATCGCTTCGGGAAGGGTTTGGACAAGGTGCGGCTGGATCACGTGAGTGCTTCCGCCGACATGAACTCGCTGTGGAGCGCGGGGGTGACCGCTGAGAAGTTCTTTCCTCAGGGTTCATTGGGCTCCAACGACCAAGGATTGATAGACGAGGTCGGCCCTGAAGATAGTTTTGATGCTGCCCAGGTCATGCTGCAGAGGGTTATGGGCATAATGGGCCATTGGAAGCCTAAGTGGAAGCAGCAGCGGGAGGACCTGGCTAAGCAGCAAGAGGATTTGGCCAAGTTGAGGGGCCGACTTCATCCTTGGAAGGAGGCGAACAAGATCCTGAGGGAGGAGAATAAAGTTCTCAGTGCCTCCATCGGCGAGGCTAAGCGGCAGGACGCTGAGCTCCGGTCTGTGCGTGGCAATCTTGCCAGGGTGCAAAAGTCTCTGGAGATCGCTTTGCGGTCTAATGAGGCTTATGCTACTCAGGTGGGGGAGCTGCAGCAGCTCGCTGCCTTCTCCCGAGGCCGCGTCCGGTCCTTGGAGGATGAGGTGACGTCCTCTCATGGTCAAGTGCGGGCTCTGGAGGACGCCGTCTCTTCTCTAAAGGGGGAATTGGCGGCGGCGGCCGAGGAGCACCTCCGCGGTGAGGTCGTTCTTGGTGGCTGAGAAGACGTTTTGCTTCCTTGAGGGCGGAGCTTGTAGAGTTGGCGGCGAGGAAGGCGGCCGTGGAAGAGGGGCTCGCGGAGGTCGAACGCTTCGTTGTGGCCGAGCACAAGAGGGGTTTTCAGAAGGCTGTTCGTCAGGCACGGCTCCTTGCTCCCGGGTTTGACTTCTCCTCCATGCATGTGGAGAAGGTGGTTTGCTTTGGGAGGCTGGTTCAGGAGGACGATGTCAATGACAGCTCTAGTGAGAATGCCTCCGCCTAGGTTGCCTTTGTAATAGCGTAGTTGTTTTTGTTTTTGTGAATTGTATCTTGAGGACTTTTCCCTCTGGTACTCAACACTCAGAACAAAACGGACTCCATGGCATTTTATCACTGATATATATCTGGAATCTCCCATGTAGGGGTGGGAGCGGGTTGAGTTATTGGGTCAAGTTTGAATAAATTTATTATTTGATCCAAAGTTAGGTTGAGTTGGGTCAGATTTGTGTAATTTTTTTTAAAAATTCAATTCAACCCAATCCAATTAAAAACGGATTGGATTAATCGAAATAAAATAATTATATTTATTTATTTTTTATAAAAATTTAAATATTTCAAAATAAATATAAATCATTTGATACATAATTGTAAATTTAATGTTATCAACCTATAAAGTAAATAATAATATAATTAAATTTAAAATAAATTTATTAATTTGTTACATTATTATTGGCTTAAAAAATCATTAATTAATATAAAATAAAATTTAAAATAAATGTATTAT